CTTGTGCTTGTGCTTGTGCATGTGCATGCGCTGCTGCTGCTGGGTGTTGGGCGGAGAGACATCACATCACCCATCATCCTCGCTTCACGCTGCATCACAACATCCCACCGACGTACGCCAGCAAACTCTTTCGCATCCCTGATCAGCACATCCACAGCGTGACGCACGCCTCTCTCTCTCTCACACACCCAATCAGTCTCTCGGTATCGCGCTCGTGCTACGTCACACTGAGCAACTCCTGCAATCGTTTGGTCCCTCGGGCGCATACATCCACCTTCATCCAGTGCTCGGTACACGATAGCCCAACATGGTGAGCAAATCGCCGCACATTTCCGAGCGCATTGTACCTCGGAAGTGATGAAGCTCTCGAAGTGTTCCCCCGTCTTCAACTCACACCCTCTGTTGCTCTTGCAGGACTTTGAGGATATCGGTAACAGGTTGGCCAACCTGACGATGTACGATGTGCGCAAAGCGTACGGGGATGCGGTCAATTGGGCGATGAACGTTTCGGAAATCGAAGCAAAGGTCAAGGAAGCTACGAGCGATGAAAAGTGGGGAGCAAGCTCGACGCTCATGCAAGAGATTGCTGCTGCCACTCACAATTTTGCCGATTTCAACGAGATCATGCCGGCCATCTACAGAAACTTTATGGAGAGGGAGGCAAAGGAGTGGAGAATGATCTACAAGGTGAGCAAGATGGAGGTCAACATGACGGCATGCATGTTGAGCTTTTGTCATCTTTACCCGCAGTCGCTGCAACTTCTCGAGTACATTGTCAAGCACGGCAGCGAACGAGTGGTGGATGATGCCAGGTCGCACGTGGGCACCATCAAGATCCTGCGCAACTTTCACTACATTGATGAACAAGGCAAAGATCAGGGCATCAACGGTATGTGCTCAGGCGTGGTAAAGCCGCTTTTACACCTTTTTTGGCTCACAAGATCACACCTTTACGCTCCTCTTGCGCAGTTCGCAACCGCTCCAAAGAACTCTCGACTCTTCTCGGCGATGTAGACATGATTCGTCAAGAGCGACGCAAGGCACGATCTAACAAGCAAAAGTACCAAGGCGCAGGAAGTGGAGACTTTGTTCCGGGTAGCGGAACTGGACGGTATGGAGGGTTTGGATCCGACAGCTTTTACGCCGGCGGAGGTGGCGGCGGCGGCGGCGGCGGATCGAGCGCGTATGGTGGAGGTAGCAGTGGCTATGGGGGTGGAAGAAGCGGAGGAGGGGGAGGGTACGATGGAGAAGCAGATTACGACGAGTATGATGCGGGAGATGCAGAAGATAGACCTGCTCCTCGCAAGTCCACCTCGGCTGCCACATCTTCATCCTCGGCTCCACCTCCTAAAGCT